CAGTTGCAGAAATTGGTCGCTTTGTAGAAGCACACAGTTTATCCTCAGTTTTGTTGACAGGCTGCCTGTTGCTGGGATCATTAAATCGAGACATGCCATTTACCATTCTATCAGCAAATGAACGAACAGATGTTTTCGGAATAGCTTCCACTGATTTTTTGGCACTGGGGCTCGCTGGTGCAGCTTCCACAGATTTCTTGGCATTGGGGCTAGCTGGTGCTTGTACAGGTTGCCATCTACCTTTTACAGGACTGTAACTTGATGTCGGACTCAATGCATTTTTAGGTGAAAATGGCTTGTTTTCCTTAACTGGACTATTAACTGGTCTGGCAGTGGTAGCTGCAGCTACTCTAGGTGCAGCAACAGGTATCTTCTCTTTGGCAGGGCTTGCAACAGCTTTAGGTGGTTGCCATCGTTGTGGCCTTGTCTTCTCAGGTTCTGGTTGATGTTTTGGATGATTAGTATCATCTTCCCAGTCATTGATCTGAGCAGCCAGTGCAGCTAGTCTGGATTTCCTTGCAACTGGTTGCGGTGCATTTTCTGCCGGTTTGGATGACGTACAAATCTTGTCTTCAGTCCTCCTTGGACTTGGCACATATTCATCTTTCAACTTGCTATGACTGTCACCTAGGATAAAATTATGTTAGTATAAATGTAAAGCATTAAAGCGAGGGAGTCGTCACCTGCGCATGAAGCGTCGACTCATGAGCCTTTGCATTTTTAGCATGTGTTATCGTTGCTTGGGACTCAATTCCCACATGTGCGCAGTTGACGACCCTCTCGCTAAATTGAGTATTTACACACGACTTCACATTCTGCATAGTTCACCCAATGTTTAGACATGGGAATGCAACATAAATAAGTAGACTGAGCATATTTAGGTAACTGTTCAATTACCTGAATATGCTCAGTTAGTTTAAAAACTAATTGGCTAAATTGCAGGAATTTTCTCAGAGCCAGTTTTAGAGCACCAGTGTTGCATAAAAATTACCCCCATGCACATTCTTTGTAGTAAACCCCTAAAACTATGTGATTCAATATATTACAGTAAGGCCAGACTTTTATTATTCCTCGTTTCGCGAACCCGTCAAATGAACAGGAGCCGAAAATGAAATAAAAATAAAATTTTATTTCAGCGTAATTCCTTGCGCCCCCCAAAAAATTGCAAAAAAATATTATTTTTATCTTAATTTTTTACCACCCACCGCATAAATCGAAGTTGCATTTTCGTGGGAGTACCAAAGTCTCGCGCAGATGAGAAACAAAGTTATACATGGAATAAAATTGTATTTCATTTCTTCTCTCTGATCAATGATCTCACTTACAATTCTTTGAGAATCATACAAATCTGATGGGGAAAAAAGAATTAATTTTTTTTTTTCGCCCTTCTCAAAAAATTGCCTTATAAAGACCCGAGAAACAAGAAAAAAAGTCTGGCATAATAAATACGTTAATATGTTAAGCTGCACAACATTCACAAGATGGTACAAATCTGCAAATCAGACATTCAAGTTTTTTAAGTGAACATTGCAATGCAATTTCTCGTGTGTAGTCAGAAAATCTTTCTTTGATGTGACTGTGATGAAAACTACATTCTACATTTACTACATTCTAAGAAGCAATACTAAATGTTTCGAGTGCAATTAGGAGTCTTTAGTAATTCTAATAATTATACATTCAGTGCAGAAGCAATTTTATTTTTGATTAATGCAGTCTACGAAAAATGCTTCGTGGGGAAAACTAGGTCTTACTTGGGCAATCACAGTCATCCCATCCAGCACGTTGTTGACTCAAGTGCCGGAGTCTGCTTTTGACTGATGGAACAGCTGGTGTATCTGGTTTGACTTCATTTTCAATTATTCTGTCGTTCATTTGAATTGGCTTCTTACCGAGGGAAACTTGAAAAGAAAAATACATTCATACAAATCAACCTGAACTTGGTCCAAGCAGAAAACATAACTTTTGTATGAAAAATAAAAAATACGAAACAGTTTACATTAAAGTGAATGAATATATGCAAATCCATTCATTGCTAATTTGTGACTGGGGTCTATCTGTAAACATTACAGGTTCGTGGCATATTTTTGGACATTTTTTTATTTTTGTATATTTTTAAATGTTGCAAGATTATCTTCACACCAGTAAAACAAAATAGTTAATTTTGTACATGGAAAAGGGTTAAATATTAATAAAAATGCGACGATAAACAGCTACGCGTGTCATTGTTTTTCGAGGATAATTAAAATAGATTGACAGAGGATTATGCAAATCACTGCCTCCTTCTCGTTGAAAGTTCTGCGCAGGCTCCACTCAGTCATAACATCAACAACATGGCTGCCGCCGGTGCTAACACGTTTATATCGTAAGTTCCTCATAAAAAAAGAAAACCTGGTCGGCCAAAAAAACAAACAAAAAAAACAACGCATGAATGCAGAGGTACAGTTCGACCTAAAAGTATTCATAATTTAGTGTGATAGAACAGCCCAAAATGACAGCGAAAAGTAATCACACCTGCACCAACTTACAATCAGTGAAGGGATTCTACTTCAGTCGTGCAGTATAATATTATATAAATCTCTGATTACATTAAATTATGCGTCCAATGAAGCAACAAAGAAAAGTGTTCCAATATGAACACATTTTTAAAATAAGGAAGACATTTGTATGTAATGTTGCACTGTTGAATAGTTCGTACATCATTTTACAGAGATGAATCTTTTTTGCTGCCAGATGTATAACTTATATTCTGTCCACTATGCATATATGGTAAATGTATATGCTACAATAGAGACAACATGCATACTCAACTAGGTCAATTTATTTTCTGAACATGTAAGGCATACAGCAAACTGTAAAGGAATAGATTATTTGTCTGACAAGCAATAAATGAACTTTTCTGTTCTACTCACAAAAAAAAAATGGTTATCATGCTCGTACACAACTCATTCAATTCAATCCTCCTACTGTTTCTGCAGATTTGAAAATCTCAACTGCCTAGTTTTAACAGTTAGTGTTATCTGAGACACTACTTCACTCAAATGACAATCAGCCATAAAACATTGAAGGAGTAAATACTAATAACTGGCTTCAGGTTTGGAGAATAATGTTTGTAATATCCCAAATATGACTCTTTACCTTCTCTTTCCTGGCAATTTATATTTCCTTCTGTCAGAGGTACCCTTTTTCTTGGTGATAAATTTGATTCATTCATTTTCTTCTGCAAACTCTCCTTCCTTGCACGGGTTCTCTCCAAAAGTTTCTATAAAACAAAAGTATGCACACATTCAGCATGTATGAAGTCTTATTATTACTAGTACTCACGCAAAGTAACAAGTGGAGTAATGAAGTACCGTACTATAAGTAGTACGAGTTTCGTGAAAAACGCCAGACTATGCATCATTTTTTTTTATTCACATCAAACACTTATTAGAAATGGTACAGTAATATGAAAAATAATAAATATAATTATCATCCACTATTTTCAAAACATAATGAAAATATTAAACAGAATGTATTATTATACAAGTATCCACAGTACTCAATAAATAAACTCACAGTCTTGGTGTTATTTATTTAAAAATTGCTAAGTACAAATATTATGGTGCTGAATACAGCCATGTTCATAATGTGATCTCATTTATTTCGACATACCTTATTGGTCCGTTAAAATTGAAATGACCCAACCCCCAATGGTGTCATTTGTCTGACACTCAATTCAAAATTGTTTACACAATGCATTCCATTGTCGGGAGATTTAATTTTGAATAACACAAATAGTTTCGATACCTAAGTTAGGACGAATCTGGCAATTCTACCGAAAACACAATGAACAGCTTTCTGTTAGGTGTAAATAAATTGCTATTAAAATTTGAACAGAAAAAAATGAGAAAAACAAATTGCCGAACATTTTATAGAATGTTGACATCATTGGGGGAATTCACACTTCATATACAAGTATCAGCATACACACAAAAAATGGAACTTCAAAAATTAAGATTGTTTAGCAACCAGACACTATTTTTATCCTTAACATCGTCGTAAAAATTCGAAGCCATTTACTGAGTCTAATAACACAAAAATCCACAGGCATAATTGCTGCCTGCATGCAGTCGGCCCGCACTCGTATTTTTCATTCTCAAATTCACTTGTAACTACGGAATTTACTACAACACAGTAACAAGAAACTGCCCTACCTGAGTGAATGGATCCATTGTTTTAAATCCAATTTGTTCCCCTTATTTTGATCCAAACGCGGAATTTCTTGAGCGTCGGGGGGAAAATGACTCAACCAGTTATTTCTAAAATTTGAAACTGCCTCTTCGTGCAATGGACCATGGGAAATTGTTGAGCCTTTAACTTGCTCTATTTTTGTGAGGTGGTTATATATTCAAAAATAATAGTGTACTCTTCGCAAACCAAGTATTATAATAATTGCCATAGAAATTAATAAAGATGATTATATATAAATGACATGTAAATTATCTAGTATGGAAAGATTTGTGCCATCTCAAATGTTTTTATAAATTATTCTCGTATTAATTCAGCAAAAGTTACGTAGTCCTGATTGTAACCTCGTTTTCGTTCAAAAGTTCCCGCGAATTAATCAGCTGATGGAAGTCGTTTTATTTTGTAAGCGTTTGTGTTAAAATTCAATGTTTGCCATATGGATCCATCGGAAGTAGAATTTCTATCAGAAAAGCAGAAAGTTGTGATCATTCCAAATTTTTCACAGGACAAGGTCTATTTAATCAGTGTATGTATGCATCTGTTGTGTTGGACGGGCGGATCCACCGCTCGTGTAAAATTTGGAAAATAGAATGACTGATAGAATCAATATTATACCCATATTGAATTTGTACATGATTTACGGTTCAAACTTTTTTTTATATTGGGGTTTTTTGCTAAAATATGTGATTTAATATTCAAAGTTTTCTTTTTGATTTTTTTCTGAAAGCAAAATATAGAAAATCAAAGTTGTTTCTATAAGTCGCATTTCCCACTTTCTAAACTTTTTAATTTCTATTCTCCGCCTATAACTTATTTGGGTCCTTACTGTGAACATAGTTTATAGTTCCATGCTGTGAACGAACATGCAATCCAACCAGCAGAATTGCAATATGTAACTTATTGTTTTGAAAACAAAATAGCAATATTGATAGTTCAAATGTAACAGTTATGTTATGGTAACCCGATATCAATATAGCCCTGAGTATAGCCGT